TAGTATTTCTGGTTGTGTGTGATTTGTGTGTTTGAAGCTTACATTGTGTCAAGTTTGAGACAGCCTCTCACCCAACTGTTAATACAGTGTCAGCTTAAGATGTCTTTAGGCTCCACCTGTTACATAAACGTGCCTTACTTTATTTTTATTTTGTAGAATTACTACATGTAAGGAAGTTGGAACACAAACACATGGTGTAGATCTAACAATCGTTCTGACAGTCTTTCTACTCTCAAAATACATTATCGCCAATTTTGTGGCAAAGTTGTCCTTAAGGCTAGAATAAAATCCACCTGCCGATTGGTATTAGCATACATGATAAAACGGTTATATATTGCCGTCCGTTCACACATATTGGATAATTGCACTTGCTTCAGAGGGGGTCACGTTGGCTAAATGGGTAAGACGCTGGCTTGCTAGCTGGGAGGTCGGGTGGTCGATCCCTGCATTGGCCGAGAAAGTTCACCCAGATTTTTCGGCGTGGTTCCCCCTTGTCAGTGATGCAGGATGGAGGGCCTGACAAGGACAGCTGTCTATCATTCGGATGATACGAAAAACCGAGGTCCCGTGTACACATTGGTGTGCACGTAAAAAATCTCTTGGCAGCTGGAATTCGATATAAAAGTAGGCCTCAGAACTGCTGTCCGGGCAAAATTTCCCTCATAGCACACTGTATGGCGTATGCTCGTCTTCATTAGCCCAGTTCGGAGCAAAACAGTAGGACTTTAAATCCCATTTCACTTGCTCCAGAGAGTTAACTCTTAACCAGCTGTGGTCAGCTTTTCTGGAATAGTATTGGGGTAAAAATATGGTTATTGTCAATTTTATATCGGCAATATTTTTATACATGCATATTATGGTACTTGTACGCATTCTGCAGATTAAAGGAGCTAAATCGCTAATATTTGGAACCTAGAAATTGAAGCGCTTATAATAATGTAATATGAATGTATATAAACTGATTTACATTCAATCGTTTCAGTTTTTACTCTAATTTCAAATCAGTTATGTTCTGCGAAATACGCCAGAATTGGCAATCTCTAGCATCTGGTTATTCCAGTCTACACCGATAGTATTTATTGGACATGCTCTCCAGATAAGAATATGGCTTCGCCATTTGAATGACTTGTGGAATATATCTAGCCTCGTTCTTCGAGTCCCTTATTACAAATTGCTCTGAAACGTATTATGGCACACGATCCGTGTAACAATGGTAAAATGTTTATTTTATTTTAAACATATCAGGTTATAATTGTTCAGGTATTTCGTTATGTAACATTTTCTATACCGCCCACCACTACATACAATACAGGTAATACAAGAGGTGGACTCATTCTGGCATCAACATGTTATACATGTAGTCCAATTTTTAAGGACGCAAATTTAGCAAAATAGAAATCTAATCAAAGTTAGATATTTATTTCCCTGCAATCTGGATACATAAGATCTAGCTACATGTACTTCTATTTCAGTTGTCTCTTCTTTTGAAACTCTGATTTGAGCCACTGTGATTAGCAAAAGCATTATTGTCAAAGAAAAAGAATGCTTTCATTAGTCAAATGAGGGGTCAAGTCAGGACAGTTGAACTCAAAAGTACCAACAAAAATACAAACAAAAGTTTGGTCTAATTTCAATAAGATTTGGTACAAACAGTTGGAATAATGAGTGATTTGTGATATGTAAATCAAACTGTATTCCCTGGATCAACAATAATAGGCTTAGACCAACTCCAAACTAGTTTAAACAGAAATAGGTGGTTTACACCTTACAAGGAATGTTCTTGTATAAATCTATCAAATTGGCAAGACTAAGCTATTTCTAATTCTGTGTAATTTTGTTGTTAAGAAAATTTTGTAAGCTAAACCACTGTCCGTATTGATTTCATTGATTTTGTATTTGGATGAATGATAGAATACAGTGGTGGTTTTACTGTTGCATTGCGTGTTGGATATTGATAACTATCACTGTTGAGTCATTCAATACGTAGCTCTTCAGATAACCCTTTGTATAGATCTTTTCTAAAAAGATGTCTAGAATCTTCTTGAAATAAGTCTTAATAAAACTAGTATGGGAGGAAGTAAAACAAAAGAAAAATAATTGTCTAGATTTGTAGTTTTTAAGCCCTTGAAAAATTGCAATTTATAATCCATGTTGTGGAGACTGTAACAAAATGTTGAATCATATGATAAACCAGTACATGTAGCTTTCATTGACAGCATATACTAAAAGACTTCATTGGAATATTGTATTATTGTCCAATACTGTCTACTTAGTAAAATGGTTCATGACAAATAAAAATCATATACTGTAATGATAAAGTTGTAATATAATATATTGCACAAGTAATACATGTGTTTTACTGATTGACTGAAAGGAGACATCACAGATTTTGTTTAGTTCATAAAACTGGTTAATTCTGTGTGGAAGCCTCTTAAAATTCTTTATTCTCATGCCAAGCAACAAAGTAGATGTATCTGAAGGTTTGTTATTTCTCAGAAATACCAGATCCAGTAGACCGGTTGGAGTGAAAGACAAGATTCTTGACTAGCAGTCACCTTGTGCTTGGATAAACTGATGACCAAGGGTTGTGCAATGACAAATTTCCACTATACTTTTGGCTTTTGTTACTCTCTAATAGCAATAGAATTTTGCAGGTTATGGTTATTGCAGTAACTTATCTCTTGTCAAGTTTAGAAACAGCATCAATAAGTTACGTGTGTTTGATTGCATATACTTAAAAGAAATTTTTGATTTCCGGACACCTACTTAGAATTTTCATAAGGTTAAGAAAGTCATATCAAGTTTCGTTGTGTATTAATTACTGCAGTTGTAACAACATACATTATGCAAGAGCTAAATCTGCCTATTGCAGGTCTTTCTTTAGACCTGAAATGTTATCTAAATTATGAATTATTAATCAACTCTCGATGTCATCACTAGCCTGCAAAATTTACTGGATTTGTATCCGATCTGCTGCACTACGCTCATTGATGATTAAATCCAAAAATGGATAATCGATTTGAGACTATGTTTTTTATTGTACAGACTTTAGCAATGATGATCGAGGCTAAGCCTAAAATTCAGTAGCTTATATCTCGGTCAGAGTGGAGAAATTTGACTAAAATTTTCAGCATATTTCCTTTACATTATCTAGTTTCTAATCATTATTGTGAGAACTGCCAGCCCTTTATCTAATCTCCCATAATGACCCTTTAAATACATCAGGATTTAGCTTTACCATAAAGTGCTTTCTTCCACAATATAGTTTATAAAATAGTTAAGTTGCTTTTGTAAATAATGGTTGATAAGTCAAACAGTTGCTCTATGATCAGTTTTCTTTTGTCAACATACGATATTGACACAGGGACTGTGTGGTCACTTGTCCGTCAATGTAAACCTAACTTTAAATTGATGGAAACTTTCATTTGATAAACAAAAGTCATTTCATGAGAGAGGTAGAAAATGTGTGAGCTTAATTGTAATTCTGGTGTGTCAGCATCTGTCCTGTGTTTTCTCACGTTATTGATGATCAATATGAGGATTGTCATACTAACTATCGAGGTGGAACGACACAATAATATTTACCATATAAACTTATCATTAATAAGCTTATACATTTTATAGAATAGTTTATGGACCTAGCATTGAGTAGGCTGTTTTAGTGTTTATTTCAAGCATAAACCTATTGTACATATTTATGACTTTAATAAGAAATATGAAATTTTGTTTTAGTTGACTGGCTTTACAAGTACTGAAACAGATATTGATTTATTTACATATTTTAAACTAGTTTAAAATATTAGTCATCCATGAATAATAAAATTTAATACAATAATTCTCTTTCCCTGTTCTCTGATGACTGTATGCTAACAGATGTCCTGCATCCATAGCCTGTCCTTGAATCAAGTCCCAGTTTTAGGGAAACTTTGCATCCTGCATTACACAGATCAGAGTCTGATTATGATAGTTATATATATTTCTATAGGTATATATATTTGTCAAAATTTACTCTGCTGATAAGAGCTGGAAAATAAGTGAAAACAAACTGAACAATTTTTAAAAGTATGTAAATATAATCTATTTTTTGATTATAGATATCATGTATTAAATTACACAACACGATTGTCTAGTCTTGGTTGTTGTCCCATCACGATTATTGAAAGTACTTAAAAGAAAAAGGGATATTAGAACTAATTTAATATATCTTAATAATAATATTGACATTTCTATATAAATTACAATAAACCTTGAATTGGTAAATTCATTACCAATATATCATCAATAAAATATGCTTTTTGATGCAAATAATGACAGGTTTTAATATTCGCTCCATTTGATTACTGTGACAGGAAATGAATGCAGTTGCAACCTTAAGGTGTTTCATAATCTATACTAATATTTGTGACTGTCGTTTGTCTGTCTGTCTGTTCGGGGTTGGCGGCTACACTAGGTCTGCCCCGAGTCTGAAATTTGGGGTATAGGGGTAGCTCGGACCGGAGAGTAACATAGGCCAGGTGGCGTTAGTCTACCACTTCAGGTTTCGGGGTTATGACCCCCGAGCGAAGCCGGGCATTCTTCTAGTCATGGTATAAAAGCATGTTTTCATGTTTTTCAGTACGATAGGCGATGGGACCAAATTTTACTAAATACAAAATAACATGGTCAAGAACTATACACCTTACTCATCAAGACTGAAATTGCATGAAAGACATTAAGAAAGTATTGTGTGTTTGTTGATCACCATATCTTTTACTGGCGGTTGTAGTGAACATATACAATGTAGCAGTGTAGCCCTATAGATAATTAATGTTCATAATGCCATAAAGTCAACTTTTGCTTAATGAGGAATGAGGTTGTAGTAAATAGTATTATGATAAGTATCAAATGCATTTGAATGAACAGAATATTTTCTTTTTGAACTCAACATTTTGATGGATTAAAAATAAAAACCCTTAGTGCTGTTGTCTTTTTAAATGAATTAAAATTTTGTTTTATTTCAGTGGCCACTTTGCTGTGGTTAAACGATGTACACATAGCTCTACAGGGACAAAATATGCAGCTAAATTTATCCGTAAGAGAAGAGGAGGGGGCAGAAAGGGGGCAAAGATGGAAGATATTAAGAAAGAAATTGAAATACTTAAATACATAGAACATCCTAATGTGATAAGCCTATATGATGTATATGATACCAAAAATGAAGTCATTCTTGTTTTAGAACTGTAAGTATATAAATGCTTGATAGAGTTTATAAGATCAAGCGCTTTTGTCTGAATAGTATGTTTTTGCTCCAGCTATATTTATTTGAAAGTTATTAAGTTCTAATCCATAATACACAGAATAATTATTTGCGGTTGCATGGTAGGTAAACAAAATACATATCTACACTCTACATACTATTAAGATTATATTGACCATAGTTTTCAAAGCTTTCAGTAAAGAGGTATTGATCTTCTTATACAATGTACCAGTCTCCGATATATTCACCTATGTAGGCGTGCACTAAAGACTAATTGATCTTTTATGTTAGTACTATTGATGAATTACACATTTATAGTTTGATTAGCATATATTTGATCTTATTATTTGTTATTATGATTTATAAACATTTAACTAAATTAAAGTATTTCATGATAATAAGCTTTTAGCTTAAGTTAATTTGTCAATTAGACTGGTGGAACAGAATTGTTGAACAAATGTCTGTTTAGTTGTTCGGATGTCATTTCACTATTTGAGTGACATCCACTTGAAATGTACATTTTTTTTGGAATATTTTTCTTTACCCTACAACAAATACAAAGTACACTTGTTTAATTTGTAGAGAAAACATGGTGATATTTCAGGCTAATACAGTACCAATAGATGATTGTGTATACACAAGTCCTCTAAAAAAGCTATCTTTCTATTTCATCATTAGACTGTTTGCTTTTCTGTTTACATGTACTGTTAGAGTTGTTTTGATCGCTGACTTTGTTTCTCTTCCTGAAATATTAAGAATCATGACCCCCAAATCATTAATTTAGGGAGAGCCGGTGTGGGCTGAGATCGAGGGTTTTTTTTCTTCTTTTTTTTATTTAATTTGACTTTTTTTTCAGAGTATCTGGTGGTGAATTATTTGAATACATATCAGAAAAAGATAAACTCAGTGAGGAAGAAGCGTGTAGATTTTTAGTACAAATTTTAGAAGGAGTAAAACATCTTCATGACAAACACATTGCTCATTTAGATCTCAAGGTATATCTGTATTCCTTTATTTATAACTACTGAAAGGATGGATGTTGTTTATACTTGTTTAAAGGAGCTAAATCGCTAACATTTGGGACCTAGAAATTGACACAAGTGGGTCGCAATACTGTAATATGAATGTATATAAACTGATTTACATTCAATCGTTTCCGTTTTTACTTTAATTTCAAATCAGTTATGTTCCGTGAAATAAGCCAGCAGTCTCAATCGAATGCAAATTCCTAGCGTCTGTTTATTCCAGTCTACACACGCCGTTTGGTTTTGTGCAATATGTCTAGCCTCGTTCCTCGAGTCTCTTGCTAGAACTGGGGCTGAAACGCATTATGGTACACGATTCGTGTACCAATGGTAAAATATTTATTTTGTCTTAAATATTGGATATCAGAAGCCCATCCTTTTCCGGTAAGATCACAGCATCAATGTTGTTTTAAATTGACAAATAATTCGTGTTTTCAATGTTGAAGATTTTGGATGATATTGAGTTAGAGACTTAGCTACTTTAAAGTATCTCAAAGTCAAAGCAATGTTTAGTGGCTGAATTGTTTAAAGCAATGCATGCAAACCATGTCCTTTGATGTGATTGTATCAGCACAAGTGTGATCCCACGATTGTTTTAGCCTTACATTTCTAGCATACATTTATAACCTCATGGTTAGGTTATACTAAGTTATAGTAAAATTTGTGATATTAGTAATAAGTAATATTCTTATCTATTTAAATATGTTTGATAATGATGACTTGGGGTTAAAATTAGTGTTACTGTTATTGTCAGGAACCACTCTCACATTGATTAATGATACAGAAGACATATTTCTGACAAAAATTGTCGTGTAAACATAGCTTAAGTACACATGACTTTAATATATGTAACATTGAAGTTGATTGATTTTATAGCAGGTTGTTTTAAGCTTACATTATTATAAGATGTTAGTCATCTATTAGTCATAGATTCGTCATATGTATTAAGGGATTATTTTCAAAAATTATTTTATTTATTACAGCCTGAGAACATCATGCTTCTAAACCACAACAGTCAGAATATTAAGCTTATTGATTTTGGTCTTGCTCAAAAAATTGACCCCAAATCTGATATCAGAGCCATGATGGGAACAGCTGAATTTGTTGGTGAGTCAATAAATAGATATCATTTGCTTGAATGAAGTAACAGTAATAAAAATGAAATTGAATCCACTTCCTGGTTTGTTCCAAAGTCCAAACTAGTACTACCGAAAAAATGCATCACAAAACACACTCCTATTGTGAACCAAACTTGACAACCATGTCAGAACTCAGAGAATCCAGTAGATGTATTCACAAACAGAGATCATTTCTTTGCCTAACATTTTCCAAAAATTAAATTAAATATCTTCTTGGCAAAATAGCCATCAAAAATAAAATTGATATATCTCCTACACAGGGTCGTACATATGATAATGTCTCCTTTGTTATGATCAAAAACCACATTCACTGTAATAGTAATGATCACCAAAATGCAATTCTTATAAAGTCATATCTAATAAAGTATACGAGCTAGAATATTGAAAATTGTACAGATAATAGATATAGTTATTGATTATGGAGTTTGAAATGTATCAGAAAGTCTGTCGTATGGAATAACTGCTATGATTGTTCCTTGCCTCTCAAATCCTAAAGTATGATTTTTACCATTAGGATTTTTACAAATCATTAGGATTTTTACAAATCATTAGGATTTTTAGTATTACTTTTAGGCAAATAAAGACTTTCAGACTGTACACAATATAAAGTACTCTTAATCAAAAAGCCTACAAATTAAAAACAGTACTTATAAGGATATACTGTGTATTTCTGAATTTATTAACATGCTACGTTTCGATACACATACAGATATCGTTATCAAGCAAATAATGAAGCCTACAGTACCCAAAATTATTAATATTAATGGCACTAAGTTCATATATTGCTGCTTTAACAATGACTAATAAAATTTTTATAAAATAAAGATTGAAAATAGAATTGTCAATTAAATAGGTGTTTTATTTATATTTAATACTTTGTGTTTTTGTTTTATGATCCTATGTAATTGACTAATTGTTTTGTATTTTTTATAGCTCCTGAAGTTGTTAGTTATGAACCTTTATCATTAGCTACAGATATGTGGAGTATAGGAGTTATTACATATATTTTGTAAGTAGCAAAATACATTTATTTAGTTGGGTCCTGACTACTGCTACAAATTGACACTACTATGATTCACTTCTTTTATTGCCATTGTAATGTTAGGGTGCCCAACACAGGCAAATTTAAGCTCTAATAAAAGTTGACCCTACCCCAACAGATGGAATGAAAATATGTAACAGCTCCAATACACATATAAAAGGTCAGCACCATGCCTTACAGCTCAACTATATATGCCGGTCATAACCGCTTGAGTTACAGATTGACCAAAATGTCTTTGGATTCGTCATATTGATTGCTGAAATTTCTTTAGTCAATTTTTTATTATTGAATAACTTTACTTCTAATGCAAAGATGTCAACTTGTATTCATAATACCATTACCAGTGTTTGTCCTAACATCAATGCCATTTGTTCATATTTTCTCAACATACTGGTTAAAATGATTGGTTGATCATTTGGAATACAATTGTTGACTGATATTGATAAAACTTGAAATAAACAGCATTGATTGGACTACTGTAATCGATGCCAACTAAGTTTGTGTTAACTACCTATGCAATTGTCAGGAAAGCTATGTTTTCATATTATTATGTAAATTAAGCACATAGGTTTACATGAATGAGGGAACTAGAGTTTAAAGGAGTCAAGTCTTTAACTCAGTATCATCCACAGTCTTAGGACATTGCAAAAAAAGACTTATTGGTCAATTTAAATCAACATTGATGTTGTTATCTTACCGTGAAAAGACCCAATATTTAAGACAACATAGAAATTTTAAAATTGGCACATGTATCACGTGCCAGAATGGTATCGAGCGCAATTTATAATGAAGCGACTCGATGAATGAGTCTAAACATACCCTACAGGAGAATCCTACAGGTATAGACTGGAATAATCAAACGCCAAAGACTGCCATTCAATTTAGACTCTTAGCATATTTCGCCGAACATAAACAAAACGATTGAATGTAAATCAGTTATATACATTCATATTACATTATTATATGCGATGGACCCATTGGCTTTTGTGTCCATTTCTAGGTGCCAAACAATGGGGATTTTGCTCCATTAATGTCATAATGAGATAGTTAAGAGCAAGAGGTATTATAAATATTAAGAAATATTGGAATGGACTCACTCTACTACAATTTTAGATTGAAAAATGGTCATCCAAGTATAATTACCAAATGATCAATTTTAAAATATTTATTTAAAGTGACAATTTAAAACAAATGTATTATACAATGTAGCCCTAAGTGAATTGATGACAAAACCCGATATCGATAATGTTCGATTAGATGAATTATATTATAAGTATCTCTGTCCGGAAAGTTTGTCCCAAAAAGTAGCCATTTAGGAGAAGTTATATTGTTGTGCATAATGTCCGATTATTTAGAGGACAATATGATATTGTGGTTGTTGTCTAACATTGGTGTAAAACATGCTACTGTTCATGATGTTCTCTAACAATGAGTTACTTGTGTAATATTATTACTCACGGATAAAATATCTAATATTATATTACATGTATTGCAAGTAGAATTTACAAGTTGTCAGGAGAGCTTAATCTTATTTGTGCATTTTTAGAACCAATCTTTCACCAACTATATTTCTTTACATAAAAGTTATGTTAACATAAAAGCTAGTTATATGCACATGTATAGTTAATCTTTTTAATTTAGTTTAATGCAACACACATGAGAGATTAAATGTTAAAGATAATTTAAAGAGACGTTATCACTTTCAGCAAGAAAGTAATTAAAATATCACTTTAAAAAATCCAAGCACTGACCTATTTATAGCTAAGCATATTGCTCAAATATGTGTGGAACTCCTCGAAACCCACTCTAGGTTACATGTAATGAATCTTAAAATGTCTAAACATGTATTTCAGTGATAGGTTGACGGATCTGTCAAAAATCAAAATTGAACACATATTTTACTCACCAGCAAACCACACAGATGTTAATTTGCCTTTGAATTATATCATTAAAAATTCTATCACTAGACATGTATAATGCAAGCTCTTAAATATGACAAGTTAAATCCTAATTTGATAGAACAAGCTAACTATAGTCAAGGAATATATAATCTACAATACATATATATATACATAATGTAGGCTTATGGAGTACACAGATAACTAAATCTGTTTCTTATCTTAGAAGTTACAAATGCAATCCATTATTGTGCAGTTTAAGAACTGGTAGCATAGACTTTGTAATCTTCTTCTTCTTGGGTAGATGCTTGTTCTTTGGACAATTCCAAGATGGCTACAATGCCATCATGTTCGGTTTCTGGTTCATATAGCTCTGCACTCTCCTACTTGTTTACATAAACTTTTATTAATTGTTTTAAAAAACTATTATGTTTATTATGAGATTATACGAAGTACTTACTCGTTTTCCTATATTAACATTTTCATACTGCTTTTTGATACCGCAGATAATGCATTGTGGGGATGGGGCACAAGGGAGAGGTATGCAGTAATTGAAACGGTACATTTTTTTTTCTTTGTGAAGTAGACATTTCATTTGTGTTTGAATTTTAATTAGAAAGTAGAAAGTGTGAGTATTATAAATAAAGATGTATAAATGCCTTGTTATGATAAACGATTTATCATTGACTGCTGTGTGTAAACAGGTTTATATTTATGACTGAAGGTATTAAACTTGGACACCTCTGGGTGTTTAGTCTAGGATGTGAGGTGATGAGCACAGAAGTCTCTTCCTGTTCGTGTTATTATACTATGTATACTATATAGTGTGATGTATGACTCCCCTGATCTCCTCTTTACCTGGGTATTAATTATCCCTAATTAAATTAAATCAGGGATAATACAACTTTATATATTATCTCTACCTTTTCACCTGTATGTTAACTTTCCTTGTAATGATTATACCTGTCACAAATCCATCATGTCACGCCTAATAAAAGTGAGAATAGCCCGTAGGCAGGTCAGTGATTGACTTCCTAGCCTCAACTATGACAGCTTCAATAGTAGAAATCTGTATCTTTCGATCTACTGAATATAACAATAAAAATAAAAGGATACGCATACAGATGGTAAATCCCATAATTTCTTTACAGTTTACTGTGTTAGTATGTCGTATTAAGCTGCATGTAGATATACTATTCAAAAAAAGTAGGGGATATTTGATTTTTAAGTGTTATTAAAGTCACCTAATGAAACTGACGAAGAAACAAATGACAAAATGAAATGAAGTTCACATTCATCGATTTATTCCAAATGATCGTTAGACTAAGTAAGGCACAGACTGACCATTATAAGGGTACAATGATACCCGGGGTCAAACAGCAAAGTTGCCACAGCATCACAACCAAGTCAGTAACGGGTAAATCCTCCTCTGTTTGCCAAACAAGCATTGATCCGACGTGGCATATTCCTAATGAGACGTCTAAGGTCATTTTGGTCCAGATTGTCCCATTCCTGTTGCAACGCAGCAGCAAGTTCTTGGACATTGGCAGGACGTTGTTGACGTTGACGTAACCTCTGTCCAAGCATGTCCCAGACATGCTCGATGGGGGAGAGGTCGGGACTCAGTGCTGGCCAAGGTAATGTGGTGATGTTCTGTTGTTGGAGGTAACCTGTAACGATCCTGGCCCTGTGACATCTTGCGTTGTCATCCTGGAAGATGAAACGGCGGCCATGACGTCGTGCGAACGGCACAACATGGACTGCCAAGATGTTGTCCCGGTAGTACTGGCCTGTAACACGCCCTGCAACAACATGCCTCCCCACACCATAACAGAACCACCCCCAAATCGATCATGTCTGATGACGTTAACGTCTTGGAAGCGCTCGTTTCGACGACGCCACACCCTCCTACGTCTGTCCAAAAAATCAACAGTGAACCTTGACTCATCTAAAAACATCACATTGCTCCAGCGTCGATTATCCCAGTGTTGACGATCCCTACACCAACGACGTCTTGCCTGAATGTGATGATCTCTCAAACAAGGGATCACGCGAGGACGTCGGGCGCGAAGGTGACCCCTATGCAGTCGATTCCGAATCATCTGGCCACTCACTCTCACACCAGTGTCTGTTTGAAGACGAGCGCTGATCTGATTTGCTGTGATGACACGATTTCTCAAGGCCAAGGTACGGATAAATCGATCCTGGGCTTGAGTTGTCGCCCTTGGTCGACCTGAGCGTGGTCTGTCCTGTACAGATTGTGTATCACGGTATCTGGACCATAGCCTGCTTATGACAGACTGAGAAACATTCATCGTCCGCGCCACAACCGCCTGTGTTGTGCCGATCTGTAGCATGCCAAGGGCACGTAACCTTTCATTTTGGGTAAGCCGACGCATATCAAAATTTGTTTTCTGGTCACTAAAACAATTAAACTGATGTTTCCACCCTGGAATTCAATGCCACAATGACTGTAACATTCAAAGTCAGAGTCGTGCAAATCTTGGGTTGGACCCCCATGATGATCCCAAGCATCACCTGCATTCCATGCGGTAGCTATTGGTGCGTTTGGGCGTCACATGTAACTGGAAATGTTTCTTCTGTTAGGTTCTATAATGACTTTTTTCGTAGTCATTTGCATATTTTAGTATTATGCCCCCAAAATCAAATATCCCCTACTTTTTTTGAATAGTATATATGCTTTGACATGATTATTATGTCACCCAAAATTTACTTAAAGAATTTTTATTTGATTCTTAAAGATATGATGGCGCTTTAAAGAAGGCAACCATCAACCCAACTCAATACTTTATTTAGACTTAAATCAGAGAGGTTTAGCACCTTTAAATGAAACACAAATAAGAGATATATTATTTTAATTTAGGTAGTAATTTAAAGATTAAGACAAATTGTAGGCTAGATAATTTCTTGATGCTAACTGCTACAAGTCACATATTATTATATTTCAAACTATTACAGACATATAAACGTGACAAAGATAAATCAATGAAAACTAATGGTATGGGGATTCATTTAAATAAATAAATTATTAATCAAAATGTTGTTTGT